CATTTCCTGACACAAAACGGAAAAAAGCCGCGAATTTAGGGGCCGCGATTTGATGAGGTTCACGACTTTTACTACTTCGTCCAGCACAACTTTCAGAGAAGATGGCAAAGACTTAGCAACAATGGCTTCGCGGTGAATGAGACAATGATCGCATGGTATGTTAGGATTTACTTTGCCTACTTTAGCTACAAATCCTTTAATACAGCCTGTCATAGAAGTCTGTACAGACACTAACACAATCCTTCCATTTTAATTCATTATGTAACACATATTCATTAGCGTTCATTGGTGACACAAAGTATTTCTTCACCGGTGGCTCGCTCGGGAAATTCTTTGCAAAAAAAAAGAAATTTGTTCCAATTACATCTCCACTGATGTGTCGAATGTAAGCAAGAAGTTGTGCGTGGCCGCTAATATTGGTGGACTCGTCGATCTGAAGCGAGAACTTCTGACTGCTGTTAATTTTCTCTTTCATTATGGCTTCAGTGTCACTGGACATATCAATAACTCGGTGACTGATTGTGACAGGAGAGAGAGGAATTGTTGATATTTCACTAGCAGCTTCTGAACCCAGGACTATTTTCACCATCTCTTTACAAGCAGGCATTAACAACGTTTCAGCTATTGCGTGTGTTTTTTTTGGCCTTTACGATAATTTCAGCTGCCTTATAACTTGCTTTCGGTACTTTTTCTGATACACGTACTGTCACAGTCATTAACGTTCTTTGTTTTTTGTTTTGTTCCAACAATCGACGAAAATAATTGACACCTTTGCTTGTTAGAGAAGAATGTTTTGTTGACAAATGTCGTTTCAATTTACTGGGAACCATAGTAGCATTACTGAGTTTTTCACCTCAAACGATACACTCGGGGATTGGGCACGTTTTATCACCGCACCAAAAAACCCCATAAGATAAGTAATTATCACTATACTGCCGGTGTACTAATTTTTGTTTCTTTTTTTCGGGCTCAATGCTTTCACTACTTGCACTCGTGGACGAAACACTCCGTATAAGGAATTTATCCATCTTGAAAAAATTAAAGTAGTCTAATAGTAATAGAAAATAGCAAGACTAACTAGCAACCACAATTTTCGAACTACTTCAGAGCACAGCTGTGATAGAACTGAAACAATTGTAAGACGCGGGACCTCTACCCTTCGAGCGGAAGTGACACATATACCGACTTATTTTTTAAATATTTATAATTTTAAATGAAGCCCAACAATCGGTGGGTGCATCATTACAGGAAGAAAGTCATAAAGTTGAAGAAGCTCTAACTTCTAACAAAGGGGCAAATACCAAAACAGCGTTATAAAAGACAAGGAAACCCTTGCTAATCTCTGCAGTTTTAGGGAAAAGCATACAGAACATGCGGCAAGTATATCAAAGAAGCCGCGTAGATGCGAGAAAAATAAAAACAAATCAGTAATGAAAACTATGATATACGAGTAACAACAACTGTGAGTAAATAATTTACATTTAATTTCTTAGAATACAACATTACTGTACATAAAAAATCACGGCATGTAATAAAGAATAAACAAGCAGCATCTTATTTAATCAGTGCAGTGGCTGAGAATAAAATACAGGCATATGAAACACGGTAACTGGGATAAAATAAAACGAATAAAATTCGACAATTAATTTCCTGCAATAGGTAAAAGTTCGCGTCACACCTTTCACCTTGTGACAGCACACCAGTATGCCGCAGGACACAAGTTGCAGAACACTGTCCTAGAGGATCCTATGAGAGCTCATTATGCTTTTCTTCTGTTCCGCTTTCCTTTCACATGACTGTAGCCTCAGTATGACGATGGATTAGGTTTCCCTCCTTCTCCTAGAGTGCAATGGCAGCAGCTTGGAGTAGGTTCTGCACATATCTTTTCAGGGCATTCTCTATGCACTGCATCACAAATGTCATGGGAGTTGCTTGCAGTTGGTCCAGACATGGCCAAAGTTTTGGCAGTTGTAGCACTGCATAAGGCCAGTCTGAGCTCTACCTTGATGATAATATGGTTAAGGCTATTCAGCTTGAATATCTCTTGATTAAGTTTCTTGTTGAGGCAAGTCAAATGAGGCTTGTGGTAGAAGTCAACCTTATTGGTGGTGGCCTACCTGGCTTTCTGGAAGCCTCCTGCTCCAGTAATGTGTTCTCTGCTTCAGTAGTCTCTGTACCCATGTCAGTAGTTCAGAAAGGTGTGGAAGTTGCAGTTTGACAGCTTCAGATGTTGGGACTAGTTTAGTCAACTTCTTGGCTGTCTGTTAGGCATTATGAGAGATATGCCTCTTTCATCTCTGTACTTATTGGAAGTGATCATCCTGGGCCGTTGATCCCACTGAGGTTTGGTTCACTACATCACTTTGTCCTGCCTGTGCACTCACCTTCAAGACAGCCTTCAGTACATTCACTGTTACCATGTACGTGCCATAAAGAGTGCTAAGAAGCAGCTTCTCATCTAGACCTTCACAAAGGGCCACACCATAGCTCAAGTGATTAGTCGCTGGCTTTCCACCACGATGGCCCGGGTTTGGTCATGTGGGATTTGTGGTGGACAAAGTGGCACTGGGGCAGGTTTTCTCTGAGTACTTATATTTCCCCTGCCAGTCTTCATTCCACCAAATTCTCCATCATCATAATCACCCAGGGCAGGTACAGTAGACCAATAAGTGGCTGACATGCCGAGTGAACCCAGCTGGACTCCACCCCCCACTAAGCAAATTAAAAAAAATGTTTAGACATTCACAAAAGTTTGCTCTGTTTTCCTCTGCATTATTTACAATAGAGGTCCCTTCAGAGCTTTCCCCCACTATCCGGCATGCATCTGGCAAGGTTCTCATTGTCACAGTACTCTATACACTTGTTGCATTACACACGCTACTTCTGGGTATTTATTCATGATTCAGATTTCAGCGATGCTAGCCTCTGTCTAGTATATCTGAAATCCTGGTACTGGGAAGTCCGCCATCTTGGTATACACTCATGTTCACCACAAGTTTTGATGTTTCACACAGCACTGCACATACCTCCAGCCAGGTGGAAAACTTCATCAGCACCGCCTTTGCCAGACTGGAGCTGGCCGTGAACACACTATATAAAGTGAAGTCTGCAAAAACCACTCTCTCCAGCAAACGTTTCATTCAGATAACTAAATTCAATAAAGACCAGTGTTTCACCCTGACCCCTGACTCTGTGCTCTCCAGTCCAGTAAATTTCTGCTGGCTCTCAACACCACAGTCATTCTTGGTTTCGTACCCCCTTGGGACCCATGGCCATATTTTTGTTCTTTCACTGACCTGTCCTGCTTATATCATCCTGGCATGGATTGCACAGAAAACACTATTCCACTGTTGCTGTGCAGATGTTGTGTTTGTGTCTGATGGGGTTCCCAAATGATCACTAGTGAGTCATTACGTAGCAACGGCCGTTGTTTGTAGGGCCATTACTTAGCAAGAGCTGTTATATAGTCGCTTATTTAGCGGTCATTGTCTAGGAATGGGCCTGCATGCCATAATATAATAATGCACCGATACTTCCCTTCTCTCTGTATGTATACTGCACGCATGCACGCACGTTCACAGACTTCAGTTATCTGAGGATGAATTATCCATTTTGCAGATTAACCATGGGCTCTGTGCTTATATGTCTATGTCATTATATTTAAATCAGTCATAGTCGTATTATATACAGTCAAGAGTTATGGTTTTTAACATTCTACACACAAGTTTTCTCATTTATGACATCCAGTTTTTCATAAGAAATGCTGACCGCAAGGGACCAGTAAAACAGCAGTAAACATTTTGAGGACTGACACCATCTTCCTCACACTATACACTACAAATAATAGTCCACAAAAATAGAATTATTACTAGCATGTCTAAACATGATCATTTATAATACAAAATTAATGTCTTTATGGGGTCTGTAAACACAGATCCACTTCCCCATTTCTGAGGGATGCACTGACTGATCTCAAAATTCCATGTCACCTTCCTCACAACTCAACCAGTCATATCATTAAGGGTTGCTAAAGGGAGACAGAGGATGTAGTCATGTCAGACACAAACTCTTTAGTCAAAAGAAACTGAAAAATAGAAAAGAATGCTAGTTGGAAAGTAGCAATATTTACAGCTATGGTAAAATATATCTATGTAATATACCACCAACTAGAATCTGTGAACAAATATAAATTACATAGCAGTGGTCTGTATACCTCCAATTTAGAAATAAGTGCAAACGCCACGAGTCCATTGGATATTCTCCAATGAATAAAATCTAACATATTGGCATTTGGGTCTATTCTCATTTCCAAAGGATTGGTTGCCATTATACTGCTAGTCTTCATTTTTTTTTATTTTCAATATGAATGGCAGCACTGCCAGGTAGAGTAATCAGTAAATTGTGTGGTTATGGACTGGAGGACTATGCTTCAAATCCCATTAAGTGCAGTAATTTTATCTTTGCTGCCACTGACTATGTAGCCTCCATTCAAGGAGGGCCAGAGTCTGAAAGTTACATCTCAGCTGTATGGCTCATATGGCTTGCCAGTGTCTGGAATGGCAAGGTGTGAATTTGAAAGTGGTTTCTCCACAACCTATGTGTGTTGTCCTGACAACTTGAGCTATCTGTGTGAGGCCTGATTATATATTTTATTGGACCAAGGACAAATGACGTGTAGTCATCATGAATTTGTAATATGTGACATGTTTTATATCCAGCCCTACAGTGAGATGACTGCACCCATGAAGTGAAAAATGAATGTAAATGTAAACTTTGACTCGTTTTGAGGATAAGAATGCATGGAGCTCTAGTTTTATTCCTACATACACTTTCATAGTATCATACTAGGACACAGGGAGTGGCAGGAGTCAGGATGAAACCCAGAACCCTTTGATTTTCAATCTTGCATATAAACACATGATACTGAACTCAGACATTTCAAGATTCATTCATCGCATATAACATAATCTAATAACATGAATCTATTTGTTTATGATCAGTCCCAAAGTGATGCCATCTTGGGATGGGTGGACAAGAATGGACGTGCATTCTTTATGGATACATGGATTGGAGGTTATACATCCCCACTACTTGACACCTCACAAGATATCTACAACATGAGTGGCCGTATTCAAGATGGTGTCACTACATTAAGTTTTACAAGGAGGAGACTGTCTTCAGACTCCAAGGTAAGTAATATTCAGCCCTAAATTTTGTATGCCTTATTTTCCACATGCCTAACTCGAAATACAAATCAAGTCAGTTTAGTTTAATGTGGGTATCCTGTTATCATTAATGTTATTAACTTTTATTTTATTAGTTTCTCTAAGCATGACTGCTGGGTAGCAAGTTGAAATTGATAAAATTTCTTAGGATGAAGATAATGTTCTTTGGAACTGCAAAAGTACAAAACACTATAGATTAACTTCATGAAATGAATTTCCAAACTAAACAGGATTTGTTATCATTTTACTCATATCATGTTTATTCTGTACAGTTATTCCAGCAAAGTTTCATAATGTTCTAGCACTTGAAAATGTTGGTGAACATATAAATGCATGACGTGCAATTTCAATTTAGACCCAAAAATAAGATATACAAAACTGAACATTTATTGATGGCGACTTAACTGAACAGTTCCTATTCATTATTGTGATATTTTAAACTTTAAAGCAAAATGATAGCAAAAGCTATCTTAATTCTTTAAAGAATTAAGATAGCTTTTGCTTTTGTTGCTGTAGTGCACAGACTCAGAGGACATAAATAAATGAGTAGTAAAAGTAAAATATTACAATTACACCAGTATTTTAAAAAAATTATATTTCACCATATGAAAGTCACTGACCCATTGTTTTATATAAATATTCAAAACACTGCATAAAAGAAGTATCAGGTATTCCTGACTGTATGAAGTTGGCCTATGGTCTAAATCCCCTCTAGAGATAGAAGGCAGAGTCCAGTCTCCAAAACATAGTTTTAAATAAAAATGGGATGATAGATAATGTATGAAAAGTAAATAATTGTAATAATATTACAATTAATCAGTCAGTACTGAATTACATTTGTAACTGATACAGTGCACCTATGAAATCCATATTCATAAAATCCAATACATGTACCAGAATGTATGCTTTGAAGGTTCACCTGTGCATGTTCTAGAAGGTGACTGTATAACCTTGTATGTGTACAGCTTCAACTGTGCAGTGTCATCGTTGTCATCGTCACCGTCAACCCCACCACCACCATCATCCTTTCTAGAGTACTGAGTCTACTGAGACTGTTATGGATATTACAAAATAGAATCCTTCCATCATTTCACATGTCCTTCCAACCTTTTCCTTTTCCTTTTGCTTGATTGTTGAAGGTATTTTTTTTAACCCTGTACTATTCTATAAAATCTGTTATTTGTTAAATTTGTAGTTCTGTTATAATTTGTTTCTTTTATTGTTTTGAGGCTGAATCTGGCAGTCTTCCTCATTAAATACAATTCTGTTGATACCAGTTTTCTCTTACTGTCCATGTTTCACTAACATAAGACAATGTCAGCCTAGCAAGTGCCTTATAAATTTGTGTTCTTGTGTGCCTAGAAACTAATGATGGCTTGAAGAACTGATTTATAATTTCTAGTCTTCTGACAAAATTTATGATCTTTACATTTAAGTTATTTTCTGCTCCATAGGATATATTATATCTCAAACAATTAAAAGTATTAATTTGTTCCAGTATTCTGTCATTAATGCATACCTCAGCTCTCACCTGTGTTGGAATTTAAAACTTAATGGTACAATTAAACCATACTTAATATGTACTCAATAACAATATTGTCGCATATCGGGCATATAACGTGACAAATAACTTCTCGATGTATTTGATGTAGCGAATTTTATTTCACACTCGCTCTTACAATCACCCAAATTGCAGATTTATGCTTACTGCTATCTGCAGTATCACAATTAGTACACTCCAAACGCACAATACAACTGACTGGTTGCTGGCTAACTCGGCACTAACTCGGAGGTAGCTCGAGGACTGACTGACTCAGTACCTCCAGGACTGACTGACTCAGTACAACTGACTGTGAATATCCTTCGCTGCTCCCCATGTAGCCTTGATCGGACCATACGGAAAACGGCCACGTAATAGGCACCCTTGTTGCCTGGCGCCGTGTTGCTAGTAACGCTAGCGGTAGTAACCGCTGTTACTACCGTAACAATCCTGTTGCGTCACCGTTACGTTACTGTGCGGAGGAGGGGGAGGGGAGCGCTGACTCACCCGCCGTGTCACTGCTGGTGGGGGGGGGTTCTCCTTTGCGCAACATGTCACAATATATTATAAAGTTAACAGTATATTCTAAATAAAGAGATTTTACTTTCAGTTTGCTGTGGGCATTACACGACATATAGAATTAATGCACACTCTTTGTTTTCCAGGATGTTTCCTTCACAGATGACCAGTGCTTCTATTTCATGTTTCCAGTCAGGGGTGGAGTGTTTAATTCTGTCAACAAAAAGATACGAAAGCACGAGATAATACCCAGTCTCTCAGCAGACAGGATCTGCATCAGGCCATGTGTCAGAGGTACATCTACACACTTCATGTAGGCAGAAATTGTACAAGTATAGACAGTCACTTAGTGCAGCACTTCTTAAGCATAAGTTTTCCTTGACCACTTTCAGAGTAAAGTAATTTTCTGGTGTAAATGATCCACAGTACAGGGAACTTCAGTAATCAGCTGTGTAGGTAAGAATTGATTTGTGTACTCCAGGGGAGTGCATACTAATGGGACACATAAAAATAACAATAACACCACACCAATATTCACAGGGCTAAAAAAAAAACATGGACACTGCAAGATGAAGGTAGTCTTACTGGTCATAACTACAAGTAACTACAGCACACACTAAGTCTTTCCAGGCTGCAGTGTCTTCACTAGACTTTTCCTGGTAACAGCTTCTAACAGTGGCTATTCCTCTGTCTGTGCTCAGGTACTCCCTGAATGGTGGTCCCTTCCAACTGAACTGTTCTTTCTTCAGCTGTCCTTATAAACCTTTTGCACAGACTGAGTAGAAAACACCATTTCCAACAGTACCTCTGTTGTTGCAGGAATGTGCATACCAAACCTTGCCCAGAAATGAATGCTGTTTTGGAGCCAGTCGCAAGCAACAGCTGTTTCTCTGACTCCACAGTTTTTGCATTGAGCATATATGCCACACTATCTCCTACAAAATTTACATGCGTAGTTTCTATTATATTTACCAGATGTAATTATATAAGTTACAAAATGTTAACAGTTTTCATAATTGTTTCCTTTTGACCATGTTATAAGCTGTTGCATGAACTATAAATAATATATGTTATGACTTTCTATGTTATACTCCTTTTTTTCTATTATTATTTTTATGAAAGAAAAATATAGATACATAATCTTCCTTTCCAAAATCCTGATTGTTCTTCCAAAGTACTGCTTAAGATATTACATTAATTCTCTGTGTAATTGTTTGATTTTATTTTATATGTTTCACATAATGAACGTATGCCTCTGTAATTCTCACATTTATCAACCTTACTTACTTATTCATGGAGCTGAGCCCCTCTGGAGGAGCCGCCAATTCTGCAGTTACTCAAGAATTTCTCAGCATTTTATGGAACCTGAAGGTTCATTACCATGTTGACAAGAGCCCTCCACTGGTCCCTATCCTGAGCCAGATCAATCCAATCAATACCACCCTATCCTATCTCACTAAGATCCATTTTAATATTGTCCACCCACCTACGCCTTGGTCTTCCCAGTGGTCTCTCTCCTTCTGGCTTTCCCACCAATATCCTATATGCATTCCTCTTCTCCCCATTCATGCTACATGCCCTGCCACCGCATCCTACTTGACTTGATCATTCTAATTATACTTGGAGAATAGTACAAGTTATGAAGCTCCTCATTATGCAGTTTTCTCCAACCTCCTGTCACTTCATCTCTCTTCGGTCCAAATATTCTCCTCAACACCCTGTTATCAAACACCCTCGGTCTATATTCTTCCCTTAGTGGCAGAGACCAAGTTTCACACCCATACAGAACTAGAGGCAAAATTATAATTTTGTATATCCTAATTCTTATGATTTTAGAAAGCAGACGTGAAGACAAAAGGTTCTGGACTGAATGGTAGCAAGCATTACCCGAGTTCAATCTCCTCTTAATTTCCTCCTCAGTCAGGTTTTGATTTGTTATTTTCGTTTCCAAATATCTGAACTGTAACACATTTTCAAAGGATCTACGTAGCACGTCCACAAAGTAAGTTTCCCACCCATCCCACGGCTAGCAAACCTTATATTGCACAAAGCAACTGCGCGTATGTGATAGAGCAATGATGTAGCATGGCGCATGCACAAATGGATTTTCCCGCGTTCCCACAGTAGCATCGTTGCAGCTGTTGAAGATGGAGGCTCTTATTCCAACTCCCGCTGACTGTGAAGTGCGGTCAGTGATAAAGTTTTTGAATGCACAGAGCATAGCGCTGATCGAAATTCATCGTCAGCTGTGCCGGGTCTATGGGCCTAACATCATGAGCAAGCAGATGGTGCGTCGCTGGTGCAGACACTTTTCTGCAGGTCGACAAAGTGTGCATGATGAGAAGCGCAGTGGGTGGCCATCCATCATTACAGACGACCTGGTGGAGCTTGTGCGGGAACGCATTATGGAGAATCGTCACGTCACAATTACGGAACTCAGCAGTCATGTCCCGCAGATTTCCCGCTCCTTGTTGCACGAAATTGTCACAGAGCATCTGTTGTTCAGGAAATTGTGCGCCAGGTGGGTGCCGAAGCAATTGACACCAGAACACAAAACAAAGCGCATGGAGTCAGCATTGACGTTTCTGCAGCGGTACCATGAATGATGACGGCGACGAGTTTCTGGACCGGATCATCACAGATGATGAAACGTGGATTGCACACATTACCCCAGAAACCAAGCAGCAGTCAATGCATTGGCATCACAGTGGATCTCCCTGTAAGACGAAATTCAAGCAGACGTCGGCGCAGAAAGTGATGTGCACGGTATTCTGGGACAGACAGTGCCAGTATTGTCTTCCTGCACGATAACGCTAGGCCGCACAGGGCTCGATGGACAGCAAGTCCCCTGCAGGAGTTCAGCTGGGAGGTGTTTAATCATCCACCCTACAGCCCCGACCTCGCTCCCAGTGATTTCCATCTTTTTCTACACCTCAAGAAACTCCTGTCCGGTGAGCGTCAGCATTTTGAGTATGACAGAGGCGTGGAGATGGTTGTCACACAGTGGTTCCAATCCCAGGCGGCAGACTTCTGTGACACAGGTATTCAAAAGTTGGTCCCACGGTATGACAGATGTCTCAATTCCGGTGGCGATTGTGTTGAAAAAATAGCTGAACACTTGCTGTATCTGTTGCAATAAATATTTCCATGAAATTGTGTTTTGTTTCTGTAAACGGCCCCAGGGAAACTTACTTTGTGGACGAGCCTTGTATTAGTTGTCTTCATGTCATGATTTTGTCGTGCATTTTGGGGATGAGACAGCAACATATACTTAGTTTTCTCTGTGTTTACTTGTAGACCAACCTCCTTCCTAGTATCAAATACGGTTTGTGTTTTTTTCTTTCTGGTATCTATGTTGTCTCCTTGTAGATTCACATCATCAGCATAGACCAACAGCTGATGTGTCCCATTTAATTTCAGTCCCACCTGGTTTCCCTGGACCTTCCTAATGGCATATTCTAAAGCAAAGTTGAAAATGAGTGGCGATAAAGCATCTCCTTGTTTTAGACCATTCTGGATAGGAAATTTATCAGAAAAATGTTTACCTACATGGACTTTACTATATGTTTTGTTTAAACACATTTTAATCAACCTAACTAGTTTCATGTGTATCCCAAACCCTGTCAGAATATTGTACAATACTTCCCTCCTAACCGAATCAACCACCTTCCTTAGATATAGTTTATCAATTTCATCCAGTGGGATCTTATTCATATTCCAGCAAATGATTATACAGCCATTTCTTCATTTAATCTGAGGAAGATTTTAAAAGTCTGCAGTATAAAGAACGTTTGTGCATACTGTCACGTGTTGGGTACATCACACGACAAATAACTTCACATGGGTCTCGGATTTAGCGAATCTTTATTGGACACTCACTCTTACACACCTTACGATTATCACCACTTGCAGTGTCACTTGACTTCTGGCCCAATACTCCAATGCGACGTATCAACTATCCTTGACTGTGGTTGGATCTCAACTATCTCTGGCGGCGGTTATCCCAAGATTGTATTGTTCGGCGGCTCTATCTCTGTCTGTTCGAGGCCAGGCCCTTTATAGAAGCCATGTGCGGACACAATAGATGACACCCCTCATCAAGGTTCGATCTCACGTGATTGGCAGTCCGTTGCTTCAGTAATGCTCCTTTTAGATTACACCGGTAACATGTTTTGTCTCATCCATTGTTACTCAACAACAATTTGTTGCTACGATTTGTCACTGCGGGAACTCCCCAATTTCCACGTATTCGTTACCATGGAAATGCGTACTCCAAACACATTACGTTGCTCCCTTCTAAAGGCTGTTTGTCCCCGAACAGCCTAAAGGTTCTTCCTTTGTTTTGGGTGTTCACCTTCCTACTGGTATCTCTGCCCTACTTTCATTCTGATGTTCGATTCTTCCATCCGCGATCCTTCCATCTGCCCCCTTCTTCCAGAGTGCTCGCCCTGAGCACTTCCATGGTCCTGCGGTTGTTGATCATATCGTCTCACATTCATTCGTCATTTTCATTCCCTCATTCATCCTTGCTGGGGAGGCCGGTGATTCTATGTTACCGGTTCCTCCCATACAGGCCGTTTCATTTTTTCGTTTTGGAGGGGGTCGACACCTCCACAGTGTCCAATCCTTGTCTTGTGATAGGATGACAGAAGATCCGGCTATTCACTTTCCAATCTTCTTGCTGACAGTCTTGTAGAAGGTCTTCTTACGAATTCTCCTCCTTCCTAGGTGCGATCGCTGTCCTGATCTGTACTCTGATGGTGTTCTTGGTTGGCACCTCTTTCTTCTGACATAGCGGCCGTCTGTCGCCTATGTTCTTTATTCCCATTCTTCCTTTTTGGAGAATCTGCACTCTTTCTCTGAGTCTCCTGATCCTTTCCTCATACTTGGCCCTGATATAATTTCTCCTACCGACGCTTCTCTTGCCCCAGGCGATTCTTGGACGACCAGACATCTTTCTGCCGGTTTGCTTTGTCTGTCATGCTACTTCCGCATGGTGGCTCGTCCTGCTGCAGGCGACAGCCAATTTCTTCTGGGGTCCACAATTTTCCCGTGTTGAGATCTTTGGTTTCTGGCGTCAGCGCTCCGCGGCCAGTTTTCGGTCCTTGTGCCTTTTCTTCTTTGGTTCTCCGACCAGCATTACTTCAGCGTCTACTTTGGGGACCTCTTCTTGTTCCGCTTCATGTTTCCCGTCCAGTGAGGTCGGCTTCCTCTCTTCTTGATGTGCCTCCATCTCTTGGCAGGCCGTCGTCTCTATGTCCATTTTGGGTTTGTTTTCGGCCATCTCTTCTTGCCATGCTTTCATATTGGCCTGTATGTCCTCTAGTTTGGCCAGTCATTTGTTCTTGGCCCACTAACAGACGTTCCATTATGTGTTGTATGTCCATTCTAGCTCGTGTGGCATTAGTCTAATAACTCTTCCAAATTCGTCTCAGAATCCAAACTGATCCCACTTCTGACACCAGTCGTCACATGTTGGGTATGTCACGCGACAGATAACTTCACGTGGGTCTTGGATTTAGCGAATCTATTGACACTCACTCTTACACACCTTACAGTTATCACCACTTGCAGTGTCACTTGACTTCTGGCCCAATACTCCAGTGCGACATCTCAACTATCTCTGGCAGCAGCTATCCCAAGATTGTCTTGTTCGGTGGCTATATCTCTCTGTCTGTTCAAGGCCAGGCCCTTTATATAAGCCGCATGTGGACTCAATAGAGGACAACCCTTGTCAAGGTTTGATCTCACATAATCGGCAATCCGTTGCTTTGGGAACGCTCCTTATAGATTACACCAGTAACGTGTTTCGTCTCATCTGTTGTTACTCAATGACAGTTCGTTACTACAATTTGTCGCTGCGGGAACTCCCCAATTTCCATGTATTCATTACCATGGAAGTGCCTACTCCAAACATGTTACAATACGATATACTGTAACGTGTTTCGTTACTGAAGACGCCGTAGAGATGGTTAATTGGTTTATTTAACAATCTACAAATAACGGCTACAATTAATTATCACAATATTACGGGTTTCCACACTTTACAAACCCTACAACAAAATCTCTTAACACAATCTTCACTTGTCTTCACGTACTAATAACGCGGGAGCTATACAAGTCTCCCTGAATTACACACTCCAGATATAACTGGTTATCCCGAACTATCACTGATTCTCGCACACGCGTCTGTAGCTCGTAACTTGCGAACTGAGAACTCGTTGATAACACACTCCGCGACTGTCACAGTACAACTGACTCGCAGCTGCTGTGCAGCTCACTTATATAGCTGCCGTGCTGGCTTGTTGTGTAATGAGTGCCACGTCATCCTGTTACGTCACCACTGTTGACTCGCATTGCATAGTTACCAGGTTGCGGGGGCTCGGCTATCTTTGGCTCCGCTCGGCTCTCTTCGGCTCCGCTCGTGACGTCACCGCGCATAGCATAGCTACCAGGAGGCGGGGTGATTACTCACCTATTACGCGAGCGCTACGCTACCGCTACGTGCAGCTGGGGAGGTAGGGGTCAACATGTCAC